TATTGAATCTAGAACAGAGACATGAGATGGTCACTGCCATCAGTGTAGAAGTATTCCCAGGAGTTCTGCAAACCGAGCAGAAACACATAGGAAAATGGAGGGAAGCGATCGAGGCGGAAATGAACATCAGACACAGTGAGACTTAATGTACACCATCAGGAGCACGATATTTGGTGGGCTCGACATTGGCTCCAATGTGCAAGAGCAGATACCCGGTGCATTTCGTAGCTGTGGATGTAAAGAGTACGAGAACGATCGTGGATCAAGCCTTCTCAGTTCCAAAGTGTGTGAGACTAACGAGAATGTCCGAAAAATCTTACGATTTGCTATGTAAGATGTTCTCAGCAGTTCCAGAGAGAACAAAGGAGGAGTTGGAATCGATACTGGGAAGGAAGTTCATGGGATACGTGAGTGGGAACTTCAGTGACTTTGAGAGACAGAAACAGAGAGGATCAACTGTAACAGATTACAATACAGTAGACGAGAATGATGAAGTCTACCGAGTGATGATGGAAGTGGAAGCATTACTGGAAGCTTCGGGAAAACGTAATTGGAGGAGCATCATGTTGACACATGACGAGTTTCCCTGCTACTGCTTGCTGCAGACCTGGTGGTATCCAGAGCGTAGTAATCTGGTATTGATCTGGGACTCTGGAGAGCTGCTCTCCATGGGTTTACAAGACTCATCACAGCCCATAACAATAGTGATAGTGGGAGTTATGATGGCGATACGATGGCTGGAAGCTCATGTGAGAGAAAACAATAGACAGGAGGCATCGACGAGAGAACAGTTGCGGAAGTTGGATTGTCTGAAAGATTTAGATCTTTTTGAGACAATGTGCAAGATTCTAAACATTCCGATGGAAGTGAAAAAGATATGGGCGAGAAGACGATTGATGCCATGGTTCAGAGCTAACATGACTGCATGGTTGCACGAATATGCTAAGAAGCATATGTCGAAGCACGGCAGAGTGTACAGTGAATATCAGCTGGACATTGGAGCAGGAGCTTTCAAGCGAGCTTTCGTGACTCATCGGAATGCAGTGACCACCGCTGTGAAAAGAATTTCCAGGACAAGTGAACGTAGTGGAAAGGAGAAGGCAGAGATGTTGAAGGAAGATTTGTGACGTTGTGTCTCCACAACAGCCTCTGCAGGAACAGAGAATCTAACGTGGATCCCCTACCTTGTTGCAAACAGAGGGTAGAAGAGCAGAAGTGTTGGAGGACTGCTTTCAACAGCGTCAGAATAGCTAACGATGTGTTGCAAGACACATAAACTGAAAGTGCAGAGTCAGTGTCACAGGAGGAAGAGATGGAACATTGACAAATGGTCGAAAGAAGAAGATGCAAAAAGAAGAAAATTAGAAGAATTTAGAAGTTTTAGAACTTCTAAACGACGAAAAGAAGAGAAACAAAGGAGTGACGAAAAAGAAGAAGTTAAAACTCAGAATTGTTTTATGTGTGTGAAAAAACTCAAATGAGAAACCAAGCAACCAAGTTGTAATTGAAAACTGAAACATTTAGTTGAGTTTTGGACATTTAAGAATTTGTTGAATTTATAAATTTGCATTTTGATTTTTAGTTAAGTGGCTTTAGAGACACTTATTATTTATTTAGAAAGGGTTGAGTAAAGAGTATATTTAAATAATCCAGCCTGCATGACTGTTTTTAATCAACTAGGAGAACTGATCACTTTGTGGTGATATGAAAGGCTTGGGTAATCTCTCGAAGAGGGAGATTGTTTCATTGTGTTTTCTAACCACAGAGTTTCTTAGTTTTAATATTCAGGACAATAACAAGCAAAATTTCCGAAGGGAAGGAGCATAGTAGGATAATTTTAATATGTTGGTTGGCAGGACTGTCCTGCAAACCAGCATCTTTTGAATCTAGGAGAAGAAGTTTTTATCAGGACATTGACATTGGAAGTCGGAAAAGATGTTTTTATCTTAAGTCATATCCTCAATGTGCAGATTAATGAAAGAATTTGAAGGCTATAGTGATGTAGTATGATGCCATTTGTATTCTGCAGTGAGTCGATATGACGCGGATAAAAATAATTTCGTGCATTTTGTAAATTCTGTTCGATGACACTGTACCAGTTTTACCAACATTGCGAGATTCAAGGAGGACAATGACCGGACTGTCCGAAGAGTATGTGACATTCGACCAGAATGCGCCAAAATGCAGATTCAGCAGATTCGAAATTTTAGCAACGAACCTTCCGAATTGACGGTTTTAAGAGATTAATAACGTTATTGGGACGATTAGTCAAACGGTGAAGGTCAAGATATTCTGGTATTTTGAAATTTCAAATTTTCGAAGTATGACTTCATATTGCTGAGAAACGTCAGAAATGGCCATTTTGGCAGAAAACCGGAGAAAAATACAACAACATTAGTTGCGATAGCGATAACAACGAGAATTGTGATTGAAAAACAACAACAGATTGCAGAAGTAGCAGAGACCGTTCCGAGTTGTAACTATTGTGTCGCTACAATAGTTGCAAGGCCGTTGCGAACAACGGTGATGGGTGGAAGGCAGCCTTCCGGAAGCAGAATAGGAGTCTTATTACCCCGGATTCGAGAATCCGGCGGGGTCTCGGGACTGAAACTGATAGTGTTTTACATAAACTTTTAGCTTCCCTGTTATGTCCTGAGTTGAATTTAAATAACATCTGAATTCATTTTGATAGGATGAGAAGCTAGGAGTTGGGGAAAAGGGTTGAACCATTTTCGATGGAGATGATGATTTTTATCTACTGAACAAAAACAATAATAATTCAATGAATAGTAGTAGCCCTGTTTTTAGGAGTGACCTCGTGGTCTGGGGATACTGAGACGCAGCCATGAGCTCACTATTTCCGCATGTAATCTAGTTAATTTGAGTGTTTTGACCGAAGCCGAAAGCAGTAACGTTTTAGTCGACCCGATGTTAGAAAGACCACCGAAAGTACTGGCTTGGTAGAGACGGTGAAAAGCATGTAGAGCTCTGTTTAGACGTTGGCCAGTCGTCTTAGAACCTAGCTTTATTTTCCGTCGATATGTATCTTCCCGGCGAATGTTACAGTAATTCGTTTTGGCAAAGTTCGCCTATTGGAGATCCTAAAATGAGGAGTTCTTCTTTTGTTTTTATTTTCATTTTGAGGCATATTTTTCGAAATTGTGTTAAAATTGAATTAAACTGTGTACTCGTAGTCGGTCCTAAAAAACAAAGTTCACACTTCTCAGTGTTCAAGCTCAGGCCGTAATTTTGTTCCGATTTCAGAAAATTTTTAAGGTCCCGGAGTACTACCTTAAAGTCATCGGCTAAATTTCCATCATCTAAATAGCAGATGTAATTTTTCGACTCCAACTATTTGACTAGTTTCTGAATTTATTCCACAAAAAAGGGTGAGGCTTCAGGATCAACTTGCTGATTTCCGTCTTCTGACATTTTGACAGAGCTTCCGTAAAAAAGGTAATAAACATGATTCAGCATTGTTTCTCTATTTAGAAAGTTAAAGGCATTCTTAAAATCTAGTTTAAAATAAACAGTGCATTTTGGATTGTCGTCGCGTTCAATTAGGTTTCGAAACAAGTGTGCCGCTATTTCTGCTCCTCGTTTGGTACCGGATCGTACCTGTACGTTTCCGAAAAAAATTTGTCGCTCGGCGAGGGCCTTGCTTCCAGCGCATTTAGACGCGATACGTCTCAGCGTGCTGCCTATGGCAATCGGTCTCAACCCTCCGTCTATCTTTATGAGGGCGGTAAGCTTTGCGCCAAAAAAGAAAGGTCTTGGGGGTTCGGGTATCTTGCCATCTTCAATGTGGTTTATCAGCTTAGTAAGCGATTTCAGAAAATTAAATCCTGCATTGCCATTCGACTTACTAACAAGACCTTCAAAAATTTGATGAACATTTTATCAGGACCTGCTGCTGATCCGTTCGGAAAGGACATTATCGCTTTGTATAGGTCGAAATCGGTTACGAAAAAACTATCAAAGCTTTTTGGATTTGGAGCTGCAAATTTGGCTCGCTGAGGGTGCTTAGACAGCATTTTTTGATACTTATCAGTTGAAAAAGGAGCAATTTTGTCATCCGAAGCAGCAAGCCTTAATCCTCCCTTTACATTTCCTTCATCGAACTTACTACTTATTAACTTTATTCTCTGCTCGAAGTCACTCAGAGGCGGGCTTGAAACTTGGGGATGGGGTTTTGGAAGTGACACGTCATTTGCTCGAATTTTTTTTATTTATCAAAGAGCTCATGCTTGTGGTCTGTTTGCGTCCACTTCTTTTCGGTTGCTCCAAAAAAACAAGAGCGACGTTAAAAAATTAGCCATTTTGTAACAACTTCTACATTGTAGACGATGTCATTTATTTTGTCCGACAGACTTTCCGCCAATGAAAGACGCGAGTCTTTTGGTACTCTCTTGAGTACTCGGACATTTGAGATGGCTGTTCTAACATAATTGTCTAGCACTAAATCATTACCTATTGTTGCTTTATTAACAGATTTTACATCAACACATAAAGGACACTGAAACCATTGGGTTATCTAGAGTCGCTAAGAGAAATATTTACACAACTGATATGATACCAACTAGAACAACAATCACATCCAGACCAATTTATCAGTCCTGAAGGTTTTAAGCAATCTTTGCATGTACATTCTTTGTTGTTTTCCTCATCTTGACTCCGCATAAATGTTTAAAAAAAAAGGATTTCGACTAGAACTAGGGGACTGAACTAACCCATGATAAGCGGTTAGTGGGAATTTTATAAATCAGCAAACAAAAAAAATAAAAAGCAATTAATTTAATTTAAATTTCAAAATCGAATTACAAATTCAAAAACAAGGAACAATCTCACCCGAGCTCAGTAGGTCCAGCGGTGCACCACCAGACTCTTCAAACCAGTTCCAGTTTCCCACCTCCCCACAGAAAGCCACTTGACAGACCTGTCTTTAAAATCCCGTGGAGGGCGTTCCACAAACAGGCACAAACATCAATCATAACAAATCTATTTAATAAGTTTATCACAACAATTAGGCTAAGCTATGTAAAATCGCTATGTTAATTCTAAGCTATGTAGAATTGAAACAGTTTATGGTATTTCAGCTTGACACATTTTCAAGTCTTTCTTGAATAAATCAGTCATGGATTAAGATTTTATAAAATTTTGAGTTATTTCATAGCTTAGATCGATTGGCCGAATAATTTTTTCTGAGCAAGCCATTCAAGCGATGAATCTCTTTAATAATTCCAACTAATTCATAGCAAAACGGTTCGAATGGAGATGAAGTTTTCATCGGTAAGAAATTAGCCTAAGAAAATTAGTTGTACCATTCGCCCAGAAATAACACACCGACTAGCTGACATTAATTACAAGAAATTTAAAAGGTTAATTCAAACGTTTTCGCTCATTTTGTGCATCTACAGAATTAAAATTTATTACAATATTTACAAAACGATCAAAGATTTGAAAAATGAGAAACATGTCTAATAGGCTCTAAAACTTTCTAACCAATCAAAATTAAACAACTGTTATTGCATAATATATTTACGTAATCATGAATAACATTTTCCTGTAAATTTTTGAAATTTTTTAGTTTTTGTTCTCTCATGGTTATAACATTTCGATTTGGGAATATTTTTGATTCTGACATGTCAGTTTTTTATCTTTTAGCCATGTTATACATAGACTATAATTTTAGTGTTAATTCCCGTCTCCTGAATTCATCGCGTGTGTTGATCTTCGGCCTCTCCCTCCAAATATGCAAAGCCTCTAGTGTCAGTAGCTTATGAGTGTTGGCTGTTTGGTCTATAATCTGTGATTTCTGCTCAGCAGTACCGCCTACCTCCTTATTACGTTCTAACAAGTGTTGCCCTACTGGAGAGTCCCCTTTGCGGTGTTCATCGACCCTCGTGGCTAAATGTCGGACTGTCTGGCCGACATAGGTGGAGTTACATCCACTAAAAGTAAGCTTGTACACCACTTTGATCTCAGTAAGCTTGATCTCACTTCACGAGCAACGGAAGTTTCGAGGGATAGCAAGCATGTTTTCAATTTTCTTGTTGTAAAAATTATTTGTGCCGTGTCAGACCAATTTTTCGGATTTTGATTTTCAATCAATTGCTTCCGGTTATTTTCCAATGCCAGGTCAAAGTCTTCCCACGTTGAGGTACTTCTGAAAACCCTTTGAACTTTGAACCGTCTCTTCAATAACGTTTTTTTTGTACTGCAAAGATGCACAGCCTCTGAAACTTAGAATGGTGCCAGTATCAGTGGGTTTTTGGTACCAGCCACATGTGACCTTTTTTCCTGAATCCACGTTGACATTTAAGTCCAAAAAGGCCAAATTACCGTTACTATCAAGTTCTGCAAATTTGGATGCATTTTATTGGCAGCCTAGAGAACTACCCCAGGATCGCCCTTGACCGTTCTAACTATGTCGTCCACATATCTTAGAAAACTTTAATACCATTCACAGTCCGATCTGCTTCCTGTTGTTTTCTGCAATTCATGCAAAACCATACTGTTTCAGCGATGTCATCTTACCACACTCTAAGTGGTATCAACTCAAACAAGCTTCGCATTCTACCCTTTTTGTCCGATATGTCACCTTTTTCTGACATCTACGGCACACTTCCTTGTTACCCTCATTTAGCACAGTCAATTTTGGTATCTTTCTTTGATGCAGGTTCGTTTTCTTTGAGCCATAAATTGGCCAAAATTACTGCAAGGGAGGCGCCTTTGCTAAACCGTCTTTTTGTATATACTACAAACCATTGAATTTAAAGTGTACCTTACTCACTGCCAAATTCAGTAGTTTTTTCATAGTCTTGCGAGATGTTTCCGGAGCGTTCACTTGCTCATATAATCTCCTCAGGGCTATTTCAACCGCTTCCTTGAGCGGGACATTAGTGTACAAACTCTTTACATCATGGGAGATTATACTCTCGTCAGAGTCCAACTCAGTTTTCTCCAAGATCTCCCTGGTTATTGGAGCGTTCATTTCTATGTTTTCCCCCTCAATTTCAACAAAATACTTTGCCAATGTTTTATTTAGGCTGTCATATGAGCTACCAGGTAAAGAAAGGACGGGCGAAGTGGTGTGCCTTGTTTGTATACTTTTGCTAATCCATACAGCCTAGCTGGCTGCGCTCCCGTTGATCTCAACCTAGTATACAGCACTTCGCTATTCTCGTCCATCTTTTTCATGGCGAGTAATTGTTTGTTTATGTCTTTTTTAATTTTTATAATCACACTGCCTGTCACATTCTTCCTCTCACTAAACTGTTCTGCTTGTAATAAATCTTTCAGTTTTTTCACATATGTCTCCTTTTTCATTACACAAGAACCCACCCTCTTATCAAACGGCACTGCCAGAAGACCGTTTTCCTTCAAATACTTTCTGGTTTTTTCAGCACCTTTGTCAGAGGGGGTCTGTTTCACATTCTTAGCTTATCTCTTTGCAGCTGCTTCAATCTCACATAATTTTTCTCGGATTATTCTAATTAACTTCAGTTCAGACAAAAAAATCAATGTCAGAAAGGAAAAGAATTTCATTGATTTTGTCTCGTACCGGAAGTCCAAAACCTAAGACTTCCCGCACCCAAAGCGGCAAAATCACTTCATCTTAAATTCTAACTGACCTTTCATCCAAGTTTTTTAATGGTCTATCCTGTCTTTCCGAAAGTTTCTTTGCCTGGCTTATCTCAGATCTCAAGAGTCTCAGTTGGAAACTGTGCACCGCTTGATCCGAAAAAAAAACACCGTTATCAGGCACGCGAAATCGTAAAACATCTGGTATAATGTCGATATCGAGACATTTTCTCAGAATTTTAATTCTCAGGAAACTGCTATTAAATTTATTAAAATGTTTTGAATAATCTAACACATTTTTCCACGTGAGTTTTCTTCTCAGGACCAATCTAGGGAGTGGTGGCGGCAGCAGTTACCTTTGACATCTTTTATCTTAATTCGACTCAATTTTTCACCGTCTCGACCTGATTAGTTGTTTTTCCTGTCTGTTTAAGGGCAACCCTCAGGTTACCGTTTTTAGGCCAGCAGCAAAAGGAATTTTACTTAGCTTCCGCGTACATTCAAAAATAACCTCATAGCTGGGTCTCGGATCCTCAGAAAACGTGATTATTACTGAAAACAGGGGTAGACGCCCATTTAAAAATATTTTTTTTAGAAACAGTTTTATATTAGATCCATTAGATTGATCCTTTCTTCGACCTAACTTCTGATGCTCAGAAATAACTGGACGATATCGAGTTAATTTAAATACGCTTAGAGCATTACAGTAGCTAATAGGTGTTTATCGTTTATTAAAATAGTATCTGGGCACCGGTCTTCCAATTCCAACCTCTCCAAGAAGTGACATCGTCATTTTTTAACTTCTTCTGCGCGAGAGGTTTCAGGACTGTCCCGACTTTTGCGCTGGATCTTCCGGTTCCACTTTTGCAAGACTAGGTTTTTACCGTGTCTGCGTGTAACGACCGAAGACTTCAACTGTCAGTTCGTTTTATTAACTAAAATATCTTCTCAGAATGCGTTAAAAATGTAAATTCAGACAAATTTTAGCGCACGTTTTTGGGCATCTTCAGGTTTTAAAATTCTAACTTCACAACTTCTAACTATCACAACTTCACAAATGTTACTGAGAATAAATAACAACTATTTGTTAAAAATTAATAAATTTAATCACAAATTTCTGACAATTTTCACCTTTTTTGTTTCTACAATTTCGTTTTGTCGCTAATTTCATGCTAACATGTAAATTATTTCAAAATTTTTTTTGTTTTAGCTAGAATTTTTGGATTCTAGAACTATAGCTTTAGTATCAGCTCCCCACTCTAAACTCGTCGCGCGTGTTAATTACCGGTCTCTCTTTCCTAATATGCAGCGCCTCTTATGTAAGTAACTTAATGCTGCTGGATGCCTGTTTGATTATCCTCCATTTAAACTCCGACTTACCCCTACTACTACACTGCCGTATATGCTGTCCAACTGGGGTATCCTCGTTTCGGTGTTTCTCAACCCTCATAGCTAACAACATCTTATTGATGTTTTTTCCTCATAGCTAACAACATCTTATTGATGTCTCTTTCTATCTTCAAAATAATCGCATGACTTGTTCCTCTACTTTCGCTGAATTGATTTGAATCTAATGTAGATAACTCGTTCTCGTAGGTGTCCTTCCTAATTACACAGAAACCCACGCCCTATCATATGGTACCGCAACTAATCCAGTTTCACCCTTTAAATTAAAATATCTTCTTCTCTTGTCTCTTGAACATGTTGTTATAAAAAAGGGCAATCTTCTCATATTTCTGAGAAATATTTGGCTCCAATTGAAATTTTGAAACATTTAATCTCCAAAGTTTTCTATCTTCTTTTTTTCACGATCTCCGCAATAAAGCCATTGACGTCAATTATTTCGTACAATGGAAGGTTGCATTGTGCCATTCGGGGTTAAGTGACAACTCGGGTGATGAAACCCGGAAATCTAACAACCATACCATAAGTCGATCCACAAAAATTAACGATTTTTCAGCAAAAAATTAAAGCATTGATCTGCAAACTTTTCAAGATTATCTCATCGAAAAATAACTTTGCAAAAATTGAAACATGTTGTAGCGTGAATCGGCTGCTTTTTTCTGTAAGCAAAACTGGGAACTTTATCTCCAGCTCAATGTGTGGTCCATTAACATCGGGTCGTCAAATTCATTATAATTTAAGACTACCAGCGCAAAGTCAATTGGTTATATGCAAAAATAATGAGCTCATGGCCGGGTCTCAGTATCCCCAGACCACAAGATCACTCCCAAAGACAGATCTACTCCTTAATTATTATATTACGATAATTTTTGTTCAGAAGATTAAAATCATCACATCCATCGGAGATGAATCAACCCGTTTGCCTCAATTCCTTGCTTCTCATTGTCTGAAAACGAAGTTGATGTTTTTTTAAATTCAATTCAGGATATAACAGGAAGCTAAAAATTGTTTAAAAACCAGTTTCCAGACTTTTCTCAAAA